ATTCTAAGACTATATCTAGGTGTCATCATATGATTGCAACGAAAGACTTATGCTTAGTTAGAACCATTTATACTAAACACGTTTAGTTGAATAACACCAACAATTCCTACTTTAAATAGGCTAAGATTTTGTACACTCCAATTAAAAGAAAAAATTAAAGAAAAACAAAACATGTTTTGGAATGAAATTTGCTTAAAAGGAATTTCTGAAGTATAAAATAGGGACAGAGCCAGAAAACGTTGTCTAGTGCGGACAAAATTTAATCAAGGTCGAATTCTGAGTTTTCGAGCATGGATTTGATGATGATAAAGTTATAAAATAATATTACGATGACACTATAAAAGACATAATTTATAAATTACACATTTTCCTTACGAGTTTTCATACTTTAATATTGTTGTACAATGATTTTATTATCAATCCTCAAAAATATATCTTTCTCTACACAAATAATTGTGCTATCATTTATCTACTGATCACCCGTCCATTATGTAATCTATCATTTACAGTCGTTATTGTAGAAAATACTCTCTTCATAGCAGTGGTAGCAACGTGTAGGATTAACACTATAGTCAAAAGCTTGTAAACCAATGAATATACCTTACCTTCTTCTTCTTCTCTTTTTTGGGTCATAACTAGCTTATGTGCAAGACCATTAAACCTTCAATTAAACCCCTTGTTAGAGTGCATGTGAAAAATATAAGTGTCATGTTGATCATTAAGTATGAAGAGATCTACTATAGAAAAATCTTCTGAATAAAGCTCAACAAGTTGAATCAAGCTTGTTCTTGTCAAAAGAAGAAAATGAATTTTGTAAATATAAACAAGCTACACAAAAGTAACTCTGCATTTACTTCTGAAAAGTAATCATTCAACTCTTGAAGTTGTAAATCAATGACACGGTACAATAAATCTAATGTAAATTTATACTTTCTAGAGAACTACGCTCTTGGTGACCACAAAGTGCATGGCTTACAAACATATCATCCATATCGAGAACATCAATATAATGCTAGTAACAGAAAGAACTCACATATTCCAAAAGGAATCCCATCCTTTGTCTCTTATTATTTGTAGTTGTTACTTGCAAAATTTCACCAATTGCAGCATATTCACAATACTTCGATTTTTCCTTTGTAATGCCTTTAACAATTTATTTGAGATCCTGAAGACACTTTTGATCAACTGTAGATACAAATGCAAAATCAAACGCCTGTAAAACTTCAATAAATTTGTTGCATCAGATCTTTGATCACAAGAACAAGATTCATCTTCAATAATCATTTCAAGTACATTACTAACAACAGAGAACATGACAAGCAAGTTGATCAAGGAATTATAATGTGACCCCATTGTGAATCACCAAGACGTTGAACGGATTGTTTCTTGATTTAAGTCCCCGTGCAGTTAAAATCTCATCTCTCTCCAATGCCTGAATAATAAAGTATGATTGTTTTTCTTGAAGAAGATCATAACGTTTAGAAGATAATCTAGCAGTATTTACAACATTGCAAGTGACACAAAAGAAATTAGTAATTGGAATATTATTTTGTACCGCAACTAGAAGAGAAAATTGGGCTTGATGAACAAAACAATAAATGTAAAAGGATTCTCCTTTAAAAAGAGTGCTTTGAAACTATTAAGCTTACCTTGTGTATTACTTGTCCCCTCATAACCTCGTCCTCTCAATCTAGACATGCTCAAATTATACTATAAAATATGTTTGGCTAAGCTTTAAAATTACTTCTAAGTATATTTTCTTGTTATCTTAGGCTTAGTCAAACTTGCTCTTTATTTATTTAATTTCTTTGACGGGCTCTTTATTTAATTCTACTGAATTTATTTTCTAGTTGAAAATTTTGCATTTTGAATATTCTCTATTCTAGTAAATTAGCAACACATGCAATTAATTATTTTAAAGTAGAATATTTATATAATAAGTACACCAACAGCAAAATATTAATCGCTTTGTCAAATGACATAATCTCTTCCTCAATTGGAGGAAAATTCACATATTGATTTTTTTTGGAATGTATTAAGAAAGAGCGCGTATTGCGAGGAGAATCCACAAGAACTGATGTCTTTAGTAAAGTACAAAGAACTCGTGTTGCAATATTAGTTGAAGAATGCATACAAATTGAATTTTTAGGAATGATTATTAAGAGAACAAGTATTGCATTATTAGGGAAAGAATTCATATGAATTTTTTGAGTAACGTAGAGAGATAGTAAATGGTGCATTATACACGAATTGAATTTTATAATGAAGGTATCTAGAAAGAACACGAGTTATAGAAAGAATTTGAATGCATTATTTTTATAAAGAATGTATCAAAAGAGAACACGTATTGTATTATCATATATTGGTTAGATTTTTTAATCAAAGTATCAAGAAAGAATGCATGTTACATTACTATCTTATAATCAAAATTTATTTGAACAACATATCAAGAGTGTTGCTCATCATGTTTTAATCAGATTTTATGGGGAATATATGTAGGATTGGCAACGGTTTGATTTGGGGTCGGTTCGGTTACAAAACTATTACCGAACCACCAATTTTTTGGCCATACCATAATCTCACCATAACCACGTAAGTCGGTTCGGTTCATATTTTTGTTCAGCTCGGTTCGAATCGTTAATAACCACGAAAATAAATTATTTTTTATAAGTCCAGTCGTCAAATTTAAAACAACAGTTTATGAAAAAAAGTCAATAAAAACAAAAGCATAATACTAAGCCAATGTAGCAAATATCCGAAATGAAAATGCAAACAATATCTCAATTCAATATCCACATAAAATATTTACCCTCATTTCAATATCACGATAAAAAAAATGAAGACTGTTCATGAAGTACATTCAACTGAGAAAGAATTTTGGTAGCCAAAGATCTTACATTACTTGTTCCTCTCTGAGTGATATCTACTAATGACATTTGAGAAGATGTTCCATATTTTTGTTTAAATTCAACAATTCTAAAAATTCTCTGTAAAACCTCTAGAGATTTTCCCTACAATCTGGTACAGGATGAATTCAACAGCTTAATAACTTGTTCGTATCCTTGCATTTTTATTGATTATTCTTAAACTCAAAGTGCATATCATTGAGTTCCTCCAATGGTAAAACTTAATATCTCTAGACAGAATAAGTTCATTAAATTCATCTTTTATGTGGAGAAGAAAAAAATCACATTTCATCAAATTTTCAAACTCGACAAAAACAAAAGTAGATACAGATTACAACAACAACAATTAGCAAACGAGAAGAGGAAGAAAAATACCCTCCTATTTGGGGATGTTGATAGCGAGCAAGAAAGAATACTGTGTCGAGAAGAAAAAAATTTTGAAGACGAACTGCAGAGACTCGAGTAAAGACGGTTGTAGGCTAATGTCTTGTTGAATTTGATTCCAATTTTCTTTGTAATTGGGTTAGTACTTCGTGGGTAAGTAATAACTGCGTTAAGTTACTTAATGGGTCGATGATGGGCCATAAATTTTGGGCTCGAAAAATTATAATAGAAAGAATAATGATAAGCCTAATTGCTCAATTTTTTAACGGGTAGTCGGTTCGAGGGCGGGGCAACAGCGCAAATATCATACTCACCACACCCCAAACCAAGTCATTAAAATCAAATACTATATTCGTCTCATTGCACTATCAGTTCGATTTTTTTGACCCATTCGCTTCGGTTAACAGCGTTTTTCGATTTTGACAGTTTGAATTGTCATCCTAAAATGTACGGAGAGATAACACGTTGCATTATCTTGTTTGACTATTCATATTTTATATTCTTGAAATTTAGATAAGATTTCATAAAATGTAAATACTACTATTTTCTTGTGGCATTCATTATGTGGTTTAGAGTTAAAGACATTTTTTTTTAATGATCGTGAGTGTTCAGACTAATTTATGCTCATTTCGACTAATTCCACGAGATCCTAAAATTTACAGTCGAGTACTCACTTCAGTGGTCCTGAAAAGACTCGAATTGATGACCATTAGGTAGCAAATCCAATGCCTGATAATCGAACTACCCCTCAGGGTTAAGGACTTAATTAATCCATGTTTGGCCTAAATTAAAGTCAACGATTGGTTTTGAATAATGCTTCTTCTATATAAGAAGTTACATAATGATTTACATACAGATGAGGTGAAAAAAAGGGAGTAATTTTTTTTTTTTAGTTTAAAAATTTTGATCCAATCATATCTCATTATATCATTTGTGTGTAAACTATTATTTACATGAAACACTACCATACTTTTAATAACATAATTTATGCGATTCACAATTTTTTCAATAAAGTATCAAAATCTATTATAAATTTGATTTTAATTCCTACCAAATAGGAATTGAGACATTTTCCTTGAAAGACTCTAATCGAATGACACAAACAAAATTCGTACTTTAAAGAGGTGTTTGGTAGGAATTTTTATGTGAAAATGTATTTTTGAATAGTAAATTGATGGGAAATGTGTGGTTGAAAAATAAGAAAAAGTTTTTAATTTACGTATAATATTATTTTAATAAAGAATGTGTGGTTGAAAAGAAGAAAGAGAAAAATACATTTTGATAAAAATGGATGCCAAACAGGGCCTAAATATTTTCCGCTTTAAAATTTTTAATCATCTCGATTTCATGTGTTTTGAGTGCTTTACGTTTGTACCCCCACGGTCAACAAATAATTACCAAAATAACACAAGAGGTGTTTCAACTTTCAGTTCCAAACGGCTAAATTATGAAAATTTCGAATAGAGCGAATCGCCACCTTGTCTACGCACAGCCAGTGCACGTTAGTATTTCCATTTACAATTTGCCACGTCATCCAAACGCCACCTCAAATTAAATCCCCCGCGACCTCCCCCGTCCCCGCCCCTGCCCCTACCCCTTATTTTCCTTGAAACCACTGTTTACGGATTAACTGGTATATATACACAGAGGCTTAATTTCCATTCCAAATTCACCCTTGGACATTCAATTAAATCCAATTTTGTCCTCTCAGATGGCGCCGTCGTTCAACTCGCCGGGTCAGGGAAACCAGCTGAACCCGCAGCTTGGAACTGACCGGAAGAGGCAAAAGTACAGGTCGATGAAAGAGATCATGAAAGTGGCGAAGCGGGTGGTGCTGGTGGACAATGAGGAGTCTGATGACGGTGATTATGATACTCGTGTTGCTTGTGATCAATGCGGCTCGGGAGAGCGAGCCGAGGAGCTCTTGCTCTGTGACAAATGCGACAAAGGGTACCATATGCTCTGCCTTCGACCCATCGTGGTTCGAGTCCCTATTGGGCTATGGTTCTGCCCAGCATGCTCCGATGATCTGGATCGTCCCCTTAAAAGTATAAAAAGAGTCCCGTATTTATCTACATTAATGTATAATCGGGTGTGGATATGAGTTTGTGTGTATATAATTATGCATGAATTTGTATGTGTATTTGCAATCAAATGATTGTATGTACGTATACATGTATGTATGTATAATTTTATCTGCGTGTCAGTGTGTGTGTGTAATTACTAGGGTGAGAGACAAATGCAGGTATTATTGATTTAGATATCCGATCATGGTCTGTTATGCAGGTTTTATACAGAAGAAGATTATTGATTTCTTTAGGATTCAGAAATGCGGGGAACTGGTGGAGAAATGTGCATGGTCTCCAGGTAGAATTATTGAAACAATTTTATCATGAAAATGATTCATGTTTTGTTCTGAAATTCTCTGAATTATGTTATATTAAAACCTTCTGTTTGTCAGTGTTGGGGGTGGAGGGGGGATCTGTATTAGGGTTTAAGTTTGATGTGAATATATGGAAATCACCTGATCTTTCCGTTTAGCTTACTCCGGAAGTTGTAATTAGAGTGCATTACTAAAAGCAAAACGTGCATTTTTCTTGGACGAGATTCAAGTCCGAATGAAATTAAATGCATCAGTTCAATAATAAATGCTTTCTTCTTGCCACAAGTTATGTTCCTCGTCGCAGACAGCTTTGCACTGCAGGGTAGTCTAGCAACCGCAGGAATGAAGGCCACAAATTTTCAGCTAGGAAAAGATTCAATTTTGCTGACGTTTTTTTGCTTAAGTCATAATTTTGTGGAAAGTTGACATCACTTCTCCATGGCTTGACCATATTTTGTGGAAAAGGAAACTTCAATTAATGCGTGTTAACATGATCATAAACTATCATTTCATGGACGGCACGTGTTCAATGAAAACACATTTGGAAGTGTCCGCACAGCAACTTACCAAAATTTGCAGATATCTATCAAATCCATACACCCCGTGGCAAAGACAATCATACAAAGTCCTTTGGTCGTTCTTTTAGCTATCTGAAGAATCTTTTGGATGGTTTAACTTAAGACTTAGTGATTAATTTACCTGTCGTTTATGTAAAGTTTCTTTAATAAAGCAGCTAAGAGCGTGAACTGAGATTTTGGAGCATTGTAGCATCTTCTATACGTGTCAAATAAAAATTTGTTATTCACTTCACACTGTCCATGCATTAATAAGTTCTTTGCTCACTTCTTACGTGTTCTGCACATCCAATAAAAGTCCTTTGACCTTGATTCTAGATGTCAAAAAACGCCGCAGACGGTCTAGTACATTAGTGTTCCTCAAGAAACGGAGAAGGATATTGCCACATGTTCCTTCTGAAGACCCCACCCGAAGGCTAGTACAACTGGGATCTCTTGCATATGCGTTGATTGCTCAGAACATCGAATTCAGCTATGAGCTTACTTACATGCCGGGCATGGCTCCCAGATCAGCCAATCAAGCTGAATTTGAAAATGGTGGCATGCAGGTTTACATACTTTTTTCTGAATGATCAGCTAATTCTCAATTTTTGGAATTTCACAAGGAATTGATGAGGGTCATTATCTGTTTTTTTGTCTAAAATTGATTACATCTCCAATTTCTTTTAATTAGGTTCTTTCTAAAGAAGATACTGAGACATTGGAGTTATGTAGAGCTATGTACAAAAGAGGCGAATGCCCTCCTCTTATTGTAACTTTTGATTCATGTGAAGGGTACTTCTTCATTCCTCCTTTCTCTAATTGAATAGCCTTTGAGTAATAGATATTTAAATATAATAAGCCATTGTTTAATGTTGCAGCTATACAGTAGAGGCAGATGGTCCAATAAAGAACATGACACTCATTGCGGAGTATACAGGCGATGTGGATTACATTAAACATAGGGAATTGGATGATTGTGATAGCATGATGACCCTTCTTCTGGCAATAGACCCATCGAAAAGTCTTGTTGTCTGCCCTGATAAACGTGGGAACATTGCTCGTTTTATTAATGGCATAAACAATAATTCACCGTAAGCCATTGAGCCACAGCCTCTCTCCTTGAACCATGCGTCTTTCCTGAATTTCTGCTTATATCATGACATTCAACAGACTCTAAATGCAGTATTCTTTCTTATTCATGTCATTGCCAATATTCACCTATAGTTCTTGAAACCAGCCAATTGTGTGCAGGGAGGACCGGAAGAAGCTGAACATTAAATGTGTGAGATACAGCGTTAATGGTGAATGCTGTGTACTACTGGTTGCAACTCGTGACATCATAAAGGGAGAGAGGCTATATTATGATTATAATGGATATGAGCATGCATACCCAACCCATAATTTTATCTAAGTTTTAACATACAAATCTTTCTTTAATCAATTCTCAGAGTAGTGAATTTATTATTTATTCACACCCTCAACAGATACATAAACCAAAATTTCCTCCCATTCTATTTATCCTGCACTCCTGGCCATAACCAGCATTGAAAAAGAAATAGTTAGCAGAGGGAATTTTCTATAAATTGTATTTGTAAGGTAGAAAACTTAGTCTGATCACACCAATGTCCTTTCATATACAACAGTTACATATGAGGAACATAATTTATATAGTTGGTTTGAACAATACTCAGATTCAACAATGCTCTGGTATTCGGTCTCTAGAAGTGAATGGATTTCTTTATATCCCCTACCTTTTTCCTTTTTTTTTTTTTTAATTCCTTACTGATGTATATATCTTGTTTAGTGGTATGAACTTGCATTTTTATTAATGCTCTATATCTGATTCAAATTGAGTTTTTAGATACGACAAGTTTTTGATATGTGATTTTTACCGTCCAGCGAGTTATGCATTTTAAATATGTCAAGGGAACTTTGTCATTATCAGTTTGTTGACTGATTAAATGAGTTATATAATTGCTTTTGGAAAGTTGCTGTATTGTTTCTCCACTTACAAGCCTATAAACTCAACAAAAATCGATTTTCATACCAGCTGAAGTCCTTGGGTTATCATTACTGCAATGAAGAATAGAAAATTCTCTTTTTCCTTGTTTAGAAGTAGGAATGCATATTTTTATTGTGACAATTAATGTGATGATTGATATTTTATACGTGACCAACTTATTGTTTGGGTTGGTTTTTCTTATTGGATATCCTATGCAATTTGCGCATCCCTTTTTTTTCGTAATTCTAGTTCTTGTGACTTGACCTCTCCTTTACTTGGAGATCCTGAAAAATTACTCTGTTGTTTTATGGTTTCACTCTTACTACTTATGGCACTCGCACTACTCTTTCCCCCTCCAAACCCTGAGAAACAAGGATAAATGACCATATACTATCAAATTGGCTAGTAACATTTGATCATTATTTACTTTATTTGGAGTGTCGACAATAAAAAACCTTGATAGGTATTAGCTCAATCATCTTCATTAAATACTTATTATTATTTATTCAAGTAATTGATCTCAACATCAACAAGTCTGCCAGTGTTGCTGAATAAATGCATATCAGTACCTTGGCATTTAGTCCTTCATTGTCTGCTTCATGCTCATTGTAAATGTCAAAGGATGGATGAAGAAGTTGCAGCACTTCAAACTATAAATATTGCACAAAAATGTAGAGAAAGGCCTTCAAGGAAGATGCCGTCGTTGTTGCCTTTGAAGCTGCACTCAAACATGGATGATGATCTCCCTCTTTCCTAAGGTTGCACTTCAAACCATGGACAATATGTTCTAGAAAACATGAAGACGGGCGAGCGAGAAAGTGTAGCATGAAGCTGCAAATCCACATTGAAGAAAATATCTTTCCAGAGGTTGGTGAGCATTCCGAAAACATTCACGTAATTTCTCTATCACACTCACACACGACAGTATTTTAAGAGGCTACATTTTATGCTGATGTACTCAGACATGCATGACAGCTTCAATTGGTCCTATAACTTCTCCATCTCAAGGAATTTCAGCATTTGTTATTTATTACCCGTTCTTTGGTTTTTAGATGTACGAATATTTAATGCCATGTTTTATGCATTATAGGTGGGCTGGAGTTCTACTTCAGACTTCAGAGAAGATTTACTGTAGAACCGGTGTTTTGAGCAATCTAAAATGAAGAAAGCAGCAAGCACACAACTGGCAGCACAATCCCATAGTGTAAGGCACAGATATCATTTCTGTTTATGTTTCGAATGTATAAAATACTAAGTCGTGCTATTCCTGGTTGTGAGCTTGTTCAATTACTAGGCACTGGTACGGAAAAGAGATTGCACTTTGGCCTGCTGTTTGTGCTGCTTCTTCTCTGAAGATGGATGGAAGAGTTTCATGGTATGAAAAAAATGTGGGTCAATACAAAATTTTCAAGTGCTTGTTCTTATTGCCTATTTGCATGATGGGGATTTTCCATATCAGGTATATAAACTCAAGTCTCTTCAGTTCATAAGGGTGCTGGTACAGCGGTACATCATACTTTCTTTCCCTGTTGTTAGAGATTTAACTGTAATATGGTCTCGAAGTTGTGATATGTTTCCCTTGTATTTTTCCTTTTGAGCTTGTTACCCTGTGTGCATTGGAGGATCCAGCACCCGACGAGGCCCCACCTATGATGCTCGGACTCAGGTATGGGTATCGGGTATGGGTACATATCTAGGTGTCAAATCTTTTATTTTCTAAAATATAGGATACGAGGACATGGTTAAAAAGAGTCCAATTTTCGGACAGGGGTACGTGAATACGTCTTTCAAGGTTCAATTTTTTTACTAATTCAAGAAGTCATTTTGAATAAATCAAAATCAATTATTCACAAGGAAGGAAATGGATATTGAATAAGGAGTTGATACGAATAAAATAGAATATTGGGGTTTAGTTTTCAGTTATAGACATTATTAAATGTTATATAAAATAGCAAATAAGGGACTTGATTATAATTTGGATTTAGTGGAGAACTAATTAGAAACGGGAAAGAAGAAAAGGAAAGAAAAAAAAAGAAAGAAAACCAAAAACAACGAAGTGTCCGATTAAAATTCAAAGGATCCGACACATATCTCATACCCATACCCATGTCATGTCGTGTCCGATACGGGTACTCCAACTATTTCGAAGAGTCCGAGCATCAGAGGGCCCCACGGCCGCCTGTGCTAGCTCCGCCGGTGATAATTTTTTTTTTTTTTTTTTGAGGCAGCTTCTCTTGTGGGCTTCTAAAATGTGAATTTTGGCATTCTGATGTTACCATGGAGAAGTCTGATGAAGCGTTGTACTTAAAAACCAAGCTACCTCCATCTCTGGATGTTCATGTTTTCTCACCCTAGCATGAAATGAGTAGTATTAAAACATGATGCTCGTGTGATACTTTAATTACTGAAACGTGGACTTTGGAGGCAGATGCTGCTGACTCTATGTTTCTTTGACTAGGAAGAATTAGCTTTTCTAAAATGCAAAAGGGAGGGAAGAGTATGTTTTAAAGTTAGGGGATGGGGAAGGAAGAGGCATTGCTCATAATCATAGATGGAGTTATGTCGACAATTTTTTGGGTTTAAGTGATTTATGGGGAATCGAGGCTAAACATTATTTTCTTTTTATTTTGGGTTGTATTGGATTACATTTTCATATGTATATGATTTTTATGTTTTATTCATTTATATTTTGATTGAAATTTTTTTAATATTATTTGATTAAATATTAACAAACGATCTTACTATTGAGACCGTTGACGATCGACGGCTAATGACCACCCTAATTCACCACCATTCTTGTAACTAACCGCCACTGCCTGTGTGTCAATTCTTTCTTTACTTGTTACTTGCTTCAATATAAAGCAAAAAATATGTGATTTGTTTGATTCTCACTTCATTATTTAAATTTCATCTGCTTATTAAACTAGAGGTCTCTTTTTTTCTATTGTTGTATATATGCCAAACAAGAAATATGATGAAAGTGTTGAATTCTTACTGGATGCTTGTCAATGGACAATTTGACCTGCTCGAACAAAAATTCTTGAACAGTGAACAATCAATGCAAGTACAACAGAATCTTGGGTCTTGTGGATGTGAATGTGCATCTAATTTGAGAGCCCATCTAAATTCAATGCTGAAAATTAGAGAATCCATATCAAAACAAACAAGAAAATAAAGGAAAGAGATGAGCTTCAAAAATGCTAAAAGAAGGTTTTAACTACATAAACATTGGTGGCGTAGTTGATCGATAAAATTTTAGCTTTCTTTTTCGTAAAATTCTTTCAGGAAATTTTGATGTGGAGGACTCAACATGCAGATGAGACTACTAACATTCTTTTGAGGTGTGAGCCACAGGTACAATCTAAACTCACTATTGGCCACAAAATATAAGATCTTAAGAATCAAACATGATGCTGTGGAAATAATTTTATATGATAAGTATGAATTATTTGAATCTGAGTCGAATAAAGTTGTGTTAAAAACTAACGCCATTGGCTTTGTTTGTTTTTACAGCTATAGTGTCCAATGTTGAGTAAGAGTTTTATGTTTTTGCTCAATGAATGGTGAAAAATAACACTTGAAAATGTGAGAGGCTTGAAGTATGTGGTTGCCTAACATGACAAATAATGGCAAAGAAAGTTTAGATTTTAGGTGAAGTCTAAAGTTGTGCCAAAAGAGTATAATAAGCTGACTCGTGATAAAATAAGTTTCCTTGATATCTTCTTTGTGTCTTTCTGATTAGTATCTGCACGGACAATATTAATTTCTTATTTCTTTAGTTCTTGAATACTGTCTCGAAAATCATAATACTATTTAGCTCATTTGAATTCGCAAGTTGATCTCATTTAACATGCAATGCTATAGTGTGAAGGGAGTTGAAAGAATTTGAGTAAAACTCAAAAGTATTATTTTGCTAATCCACTGAGGGGGAATATGTTAGATATTTTTCATCATTTTGCATATATTTATTTTTTGTTTTGCGAATGATTTGCCGCCCCGACTAATGTTTGCATCTGTTCGTTTTTAACAGTCACTTCCAACAGATGTGTTCTTCATTTCAAGGGACACCTATTCAAACGGTTGCCTCAATTTCTATAAATTCTGGGTGAATTCTCGTTTGCAAAACATATTAAAAAATTATTCTTCTCTCTTTCTCTTGGCATCATCAGTTTTTTTCGAATGTCTTCTTGGTTTGATCAAATAGTCACAATTTGAATCAAACGCCTCCATTGTATCCTGAGAGAGATTTTTTATCATATCCCAATTGTGACTTTGTTGGATAGGGGAGAAACATATCTTAAAAGATAACGTTTTTTGTGCCTTGAAGTTCATTAAGTTTTTTCAGATTTCTCTACATTTTTCTCAACAAAATATTGCATATCAAATGTATTTTTACTACTTGTCAACTA